CAACCAAAGGACTTGTATGCATGCATATAAGCATAACCAATGGACATAAGACACTGGGGGATGGGGGAGGCTAGGGGACTGTCTTGGGCGGGGGGAAAAATGGACACATATGTAATACCCTTTGTAATAAATAATAAAATTTAAAAAAAAAAAGAAAAACTGAACCCCCTCTTCACCTAAGTATAAGTGCTCTAAGATTTAAAAAACTGTGATTATTTTTCAGATTATTCCAGGCGCTCTATCTATCAGGTTATAGGTCCCCCTATCAGGGTCCCTCTTCTCGTACCTTCATACCCTCAGTCCATCAAGGGCACGTTCCTGGTTTGCAGGTTTCATCCCCGATTTGGGGCGCATGTGGGAGGCCACCAATCGATGTTTCTCTCTCCACCTCCTCTCCTCGCTTATCTGTGTCCTCTGGCCCCGGACCAGGAGACCACCTCCTCTCCTAGTTCTTGGGGTCCTTTTAGTGGGAATAATACTTAGGCAGCAAAGCCTGGGGGTAGGCAAACCCAGGGCTACCAGGGTTTTGTTCCATGGGGACCACTTAGTACCGGGGAGGATGCACAGTGTCCGTCCACACAGGTAGCTCCCACCCGCTGTAACATCACAGGGTCATTTATGTGGTGCTTGTATTTCTCATATGAAAAGCCAGTTCCTAACTAATGCCTATAGATGCCTCTTCTTGTCTTTCTTTCTTTTATTTTCTTTTTTTACCCCGTGGTTGTGGTGGTTGAATATAAGCTTGTCTGCATTTTCATTTGTTCATATTCTTTTTTTAAATATATTTTATTGATTTTTCACAGAGAGGAAGGGAGAGAGATAGAGAGTTAGAAACATCGATGAGAGAGAAACATCGATCAGCTGCCTCCTGCACATCTCCCATTGGGGATGTGCCCGCAACCCAGATACATGCCCTTGACCGGAATCGAACCTGGGACCCTTCAGTCCGCAGGCCGACGCTCTATCCACTGAGCCAAACCGGTTTCGGCCATTTGTTCATATTCTTGTCAGAGTGTGCTTTTCCCATGATCTCTGGCGGAACTGGGTCTTGGACTCTGTAGACTATCTTTAGGTCTCAGAAGTTAAACGGCCTAGGATGGCACGTTCCGATTGGACTGTTCCTTCTGTCCCCTTCACCCTGCGCCCCCATGAACCCGAGGTGACTGTTTTTGTCGGTTTCTGGTTTTCACAGTGAAAGAGGAACATGTGGAAATAAGTAAATACACACATAATGTTATTTTATCTTTCTTTTTAAAAAAATATTTTTATGTTTATATTGATTTCAGAGAGAGAAAGGGAGACGGAGAGAGATAGACACATCCATGATGCCCCAGCTGGTTTGGCTCAGTGGATAGAACGTCGGTCTGTGGACTGAAGGGCCTTGGGTTCGATTCCTGATCCGGGGCATGAACCTGGGTTGTTATTTAATCCCCGACCCTGGTCGGTCAGGGCTCATGCAGGAGGCAACCAAGTGCGGGAGGCAACCAATCGATGTGTCTTTCTCACATCGACGTTTCTCTCTCACGCATGCTCTCTCTCCCCCTCTCCTCCCTCCCTCCCATCTCTCTCTCCCCTCCCTCCCTCCCTTCCACTCCAGAAATCAATGGAAAAAATATCCTCAGATGAGG